ATTCGATATCAAACAATTACGTTTTTAATTTTAAAAATTATTAATTATTTGATGATGTCGTAATTTATCAGTTGATTTAATAGTGTAATGGTATTTTTATATTACTAATGTGTTATTGTTTTTAAAAAATTATTATTCAAATATTTGTAAATAGATAATTGGAAGTACAATAAGTAAGATTTGAGAAGCAATTGTCTGAGGAACCTCTTCAAAGTTCTGGTAGGGGGTTCAATGAACTCGCCGTCCATCTCAACATACCTAAAAGAGTTCAAGTGGCTCACCATATACTCTTCCTCGCCATGGACTGTGACAATCTTCTCATTAACTGGATACTTCAACATTTGATGCAGGGTAGAAGTAACAGCATCGGCCCCATAGATCCAAGGGCGACCCAACAAACAAGAGTAAGACGGGCGGATGTCTATTACGTAAAAAGTAGAGTCAAAGGTCTGAGAACCAACTTTAACAGGAATGTCCACATGTAATACCCCAAATTTATCCTACCCTCTCACTTTTATTTGGCTTATACATCTCGCATTATTCTCATGTATATAACCTTCATTAGGTCAGCTAACACCCCATGTATCATTCATCAATAAATTTAGCATGTGATCAATGTTCACGAACATGATTAGGGTTTTATCAACTGACTGAGGTATATATGTTCAATAGAGCTTGATTCTCCTGGTTATTTTTCAAGGTAGTGAAATTATGGAATTAGGGTTTTGTATTCATGGATGTTGTGGACCTTTTCTTCATCAAGCTACAAGGTCATCCTCCATCAAGAATTCATCAAACACAAGTGAATTAGGGTGTCACATCTTCTCTGTGCAAATTTGTAATATCTATCGATTGAGGTTCATTGACCTTCATGTTACATTTCTTTCTATACCTCGAGGTATTGTTGTTATCCATAAAGTCAAGATATAGTGTGGATTGGATTGCAAAATGCAAGCCATGGTACAGAAGATGAAGTTGTGAGTTCATTGAGTTCAAAACGTCATCATTCTTTCAAACACTTGTTGCTTCGATTACAAGTTGATTAGGATTTCAAGATAAATGTGTTGCCAATTTGGATTCATTGAAACTTCTAATTGCGCTCAAGATTAATATTGGCTCAAGATCTCAATTTCATGATTTGTCAATGGTTGATTCAAGATAAGATTGGAAGATTCATGTAATTCAAGTTGCCATCTCCGGGTTCACTTAATTCATCTTCCATTATTCAAGATCTAGGCAAGGCATATAAGTGGATTTGGTTTCAGTTCTTTGTGATATATCAAATTGGATTCAAGTTTTGATGCCAGATGTCCCATGATAAAGTTCAACGTCAATTTGGGAAAGTTAACTTTTGGCCAAAGTTCCATTAAAATTCATGATTATTTCATTCAAGTTACAAGCATAATGGAGGGAAAGTAATTCAAATTTGAAATCAGAGTCTCCGTTATAAAAAAACCATTTCAAAGCACGGCAGCTCATTCGAATTCAGATCACAAAGCTATATTTCAAATACATACAACATCTAAGTTTCATCCAATTACATTCATAATTACACAACATTTTGAGTCTAAGTCTAATCCTAAACCTAGTCTTCAAGCTGCTTCGTTTCATCGTCATGATTTAACCTTCTCTTGCTCCCTTCAAAAGTTTTCCCCAAGCTCCAAGAGCCAATTGAATCATGTCAAGACAGCCCTGCACATAAAACCATCCAACTCAGACCACCACATAAATAACTGATTCAGTATCTCCACATTTTGAAAATGATGCCATCTCACATAAATAAAACTGATGCGGCTTCTACGGCAGAGAGAATCCGATCTGGTTTAGATAATTCTGAATTGGATTTGCAGGACATTAGAAATGCACGATAGAGTAAACCAGACTGTGAGGAAGAACTCCATGTTCTTGAAGATGCTAAGGAAATTCCTTCTTTCAAAAAACCATAATCTGCAGAAGACTAATCATTAATAGTCCCAATATCCTCGCCACCTTCAGTTGAATGTCGTAAACCCGCATTCAAATAAACCACAAACATAAATCAGACCATTTTGCAACAAATCATATACTTAGGGTTATGCTGAAGCAGTTCTTCGTTTTTACAAGCCTGGACAAACCGATACTTATTGGCTAGACTACAATTTTGAACCAGCGGCACGATATCTTAAAGAAGAAATAAATTCGCAGAAAATCAGAAATAACCAGCCCAACATCAATTGACACAGTTAGCTAACAGAACTCAATAGCATAACAAAAATCCAGTTCATTCGATAACAGAAAACATAAAGCTAATTCCTGAACCTTTTAACAACCAGCAAAACAGAACTGGCAGATTCAACTAACTTCCAAAACTGTCACAACACAATTCCTAACTTCCAAAACAACCAACCAATATTCAACCATTTTTCCAGCTGTCCAAACAGAATCTCTAACTAACCTATAACCAACCTCCCTAACCAACTAACAGAAAAATAACCATTTCATAACAGTTTCAAAATAGAATTCATCCAACCGGAAAAGATAACGGACTGCAACAGAAAAACAAAAAAGGATTGAAGCAACAGAGCAAAGAGGGGAAAAAATTCACAGAATGGCAGAGAAGTTTCATTAACGATTATTCAACATAAAAAGTCACAGAAAATTAGAGAAAAAAACTCACCTCTCTTTCTCTGAACCGCATCAAGATATTCCTCATCAACCTTCAATCTTCAAGTTGCTACGACATCTTCATCATCATCCTCCAGCAATAATCTTCATCTTTCTCTACGATCTTCAACATCATCTTCATCTCAACTCTCTGCATCTTCAATCATCACCAGCAACTCAAAAATCTCCATCTTCAATCTTCCCTCTTCTTTCTCTCTACAACCGCATCAATACACTTTTTCCATAACCACACTTCAAGCTCCATAAACTGCATCAACCCGCAACTTCACATCGTAATCTCTCAAGATAACTACATCATCAGCATCATCTTTAATCCTCTACAAGCCTCACCATCTTCTGAATCAACATCAACGCCGTGTTGACATGTGCATCGCACAACATTGCTTCTGCAATTTAATCAATATCTTGCACCACCTTCATCTATAATCATCTTCACATCAACAACTGCAAAAACATCATCTTTAACTTGCACCGCGATAGCATTAACGCGCCAATGCATCGCATCATCGTCAACAAATCGCGAAGCCGGATTTGAGGATCCACGGCGGAGAAGTTGAACCGAAATATGGTGAAGGCGAATCAGTGTTACAAACCGAAGAAGTCGAATATGTGGCATGAATCTAATACAAAGGGATCGGAAGAGAGATCAGTGGCTCCGCGAGAGAGGAAGGGAAGTGAGGAAGCTAAACGTCACATTCTGTAACCTAATCCCTTTTAAATTTTTTATTTTATTCTTTTTACTATTTTTTGGTATGTTGGATAGTAAATAAGCCTATTACTATTTGTTTGTAGCCTGATGATAAAAAACAAAAATATATTTCCGATGGGCTTCATTTTGAACGGGCCAACGCCCAACTTACTGAGCCATACTCCCTGGACTCAAATCATCACCCCCTGAGTTTATTATTTCTTCATTAGATTTAGGATTTTTTTTTGTTTTGTTTTTGTTAATTTTTGCCAATGTAATACATGATAAAAACTCAAAAATATTAGAATAGAATCTTAATTCTTTTACTAATTTGGTTTGTTGTTATCTTAGCCATGTTTTTAGTAGATTTTGATGCCAATTTTGTGTGAGACTTTGAAATAAAAAAAGTACTTGGGCTTGAGAAATTTTGATGCTAACAAAGAACACAATCTCCATCAAGAGAAATTAGAGGAACCACTCGATAAAGTTTTCTTATGGCTTGCATGGTTTTGAAGAGGCAACGGACCTTCTCCGTTCGGTATCATCATAACTCTATTTTATTCTTCATTTCCGCACTTTACCGCTTTTCTAGATACCATGAGAAGTAGGAAATAAAGAGTGTGCGCTCGAAGTCGCTGTTTAAAGATCTGTAGCAGGAATTCTACACTTTATTTGCTATATGTGTAGTGCTTGTGCTTGTTTCTGTGATTGTTGATCGATGAGTCACTCAATTTAGAAATTGCGATCACGACTTCGCTCTCAGTGCATGATCCCTATAGGACTTTATCCCTTTCCTCTATTTCTTATTGATCGATGAGTCACTCAATTTAGAAATTGAGATCACGACTTCGCTCTCGGTGCATGCTCCCTATAGGATTTTATCACTTTTCTTTATTTCTTATTGATCGATGAGTCACTCAATTTAGAAATTGAGATCACGACTTCTCTCTCATTGCATGTTCCCTATAGGATGGTTGTGTTAGACTTTCTTTGGCATGCTAACCTAGATAGGATCTCTCTAGGTGTGCTCTCTTGAGCTTATTACCTTGTTTGCCTTATCCTTGTACATACCATGTTCCCTTAGGATGCGCTTTCTCCGTTCGGATGCGAATTAGACCTTAGGTTGTAAACCATGCATGCTAACATTAGGTAGAAATTTCCCCTTTTATCCTTGACGTAGGGCTACCATTGTATGATAGCATTAGGTTAGAAATAGGCTAGTCTCCCTTAGACTCTTTTCTTCCCCTTTTTGCATCCTTGCATCTAAAACTAAAACTCTTTTTCTTAGCAAATCAAAAACATGCTAATCATACCTAAACCCTTTTTCAAGGTATTAAAACACAAACCAATTCAAACCATTTTGTGTGCTCGAGCACCATTTCACTAAAACTCTTTTCAGGTAAGGACATGATTAATTTACTTCTGTGTTAACGCATAAGTCTCCAAAGGTCGAGTTGCGGCAGAAGGCGGAATTAACATTGTCCATTAAAAACACAAACAAATAAAAACATGTGAGTCGAACTACGGTAGCGAAGCTGAAGCTGAAGCCAAAAAAAACCGAACCTGAAGCTGCAAGAGCAAGACCCTCAACAAGAATAACATACCCAAACCCAAGCCATGCAAGACTAAAAGCATTCTCATAAGCCCCCTATTCCTGTTGAACCGGTTCTTGTTCCTTAACTAACGCCGATTTTTCAACTGGATTACGATGAATTATCGAACCTCTTTCTCTTTGTCCCTTCTGTTTCCTTTTAGTGTTCACATTATACGGACCAAAACCCACCCCGGATTTTCTGGGTACTGAATTGGACGGTTCAGATGGTTTTTCAGATCTCACTGTGAGGTTGGGAGAGAACGAGTGATGTGTTTTGGTGGTGAAGTAAGTTGTGAACTGTGTTTGAAGTGCCATTTTTGTTCTTCTTAGGGTTTGGAGCTCAGTTTCACCACATAGTTTCTTTTTCTTCTGATGAAGATAATGATAACAAATTTCTATCTTTTCTTTTGTATTTACATTTTTTTATGTTTGGTTTAATTCTTTAATCTTTGGTTAATTATTATTTTTTATTTTAAAAATTAAGAGAATATAAATTTTTTCTGCGATTTTGATATTCATATTTTCATTTAAAATGTTCATTTTCATTTTTTTTAATGTTAAAACCTTATATCTGATGGGATGAGCAATTATAATAATAATTTTATTTAATAATTTGTTTATATAGTTCAACTTATTTTTTAAGAAAAAATATTTTTAATATTTTTTTTATTAAAAAAATATATTTATTCATTCAAATTGAAAATTACATCCTTCATTACAAATTTAAAATTGTTAAAAACTGAAAAAGATGAATCTACAAACAATCTTGCAGAACTTAGGTTAATAGCATATAACAGCAACATGAAAACGTCTACAAATATGAAAAATAAAAGTAACTAGAATATTCATATTTTCGGATCTTCAATATTGACGCTCGAGTCTGCACCAGATCTGTAATGAGTAGAAGTGAATATATCAATCTGAAACAACGAACATCGTATTAAAATAAAATAAAACCAACAAACCTCGCACAAGATGATGAAAACTTTAAAAAAACACAAAAAAGTTGATCTTTGTGGAAAATCATTTATTTAAATAAAAGGAAAGAAAAAAACAGCGTTGAGGGTGATTTCTAGTCAAAAATGGCCAAAAATCATCTCCTACAATGAAAGAACAAAAGGAGAGAAAAGTTGAGAGATAATTCTTGTTTCTGAAAAAAGATGATATATTCGATACAAAGCCTTAGGCTTCGACACAAAGCCTTAGGTTTCGACACATACTGATTTACAGGCCCAAACAGAAGGGAAAAAGGGTGTGTGATTCGACACATAACATTATGCTTCGACTAATATTGAGTTGATTTGGAATTACAGGGTCGAAAGAAGGATATGTGTCGATGTATATAAGCATGCTTCGACACATGATGTCGAAAGATTTTTTTTCTCTCTTTTGCGCTGTTTTTTACATATTTCATATATTTGCTTCATAACTATTCAATATGGTTTGTAACAGATAATTAGGTTTAATTTCTTGCAATCCCCATTTGTACATTTGTATCCCTCATCCACCAAATGATGTAATAGCGCAGAACATTTATTTTTTGCAATTTTATCACTTTCATAAATGTTAGTAATTAGGGTGTGTATGACCAGATAAAAAATCAACCTTAGAAAATCCTAATCCAATACATGACAATGCATGAAAAATAAACACTTGCACACTTACACTTCTAGGGTTAACTCCACTCGTTGCCTTGAGAAAATGGTCATGACGTGCATGTGAGCCATCTTAGCAAAAATAATCAAAATACAAGATCATAGTCCCTCGATGACGCTACGAATGTTGCCTTACAAATGATCTTAGTCCCTTAAGAGAAATGATAAGATATCTCATAATAGTGCCATACATGACTATACGATGACCCACGCCTGTCCCTTCGCATCCAACGATGGGGCTTATCACCAAATCAATGGTAAGATAGCAACATCTAAAGGAGGAGGAAAAGAACAAAGACCTTTTGAGTAGATAGGAAGCTCGTAGTTTCTTGCTCACAAACTAAAACCATTTCCATACTTACAATTTCAAAAACATCTTCAAAAACAAACATTTCTTTGAACTATTTTCAAAACCAACACTTTGTATACATTCTTATAGAGACGAGAATCATTACAAAATTTGCCAAAACAAAGGCGTTTTCAAAATATTTTCAAACTTGCACCAAACACAAGCAAAGCAGTTTCAAAAGTGATCTAGCAAGCAACTAAGAGCCCATAGATAACTATGGATGAAAAGGATGCTAACACCTTCCCTTTTCATAACCTACCCCCTGAACTCAAGAAAACATCTCAAAGGTCTTTCCTGTTCTTTTCACCCTTTCCTTTATTGAATAAAAGAAAAGTCGGTGGCGACTCTTGCTATCCACAACATTTGCGATCAAACACAAAACAACCAAGTCAGTTCTCCCACCGTATCACAGAACTGGCGACTCTACTGGGGAGTAACTTAAAAGTGGGGTTACCTTAGAGCTAGATCATATTTATTTTCTTTCATTGTTTGATTTGTTTGCTTCACATTTATGGGTCCTTGTTTGGGTTTGTATTGATCCTCTACCCAGATCTGGGAACATCATTAGGTAAGTAGCAATAGATTGTGGAAATTGTACGGCGTACACTGATATGGTTTAAGTAATGGCTACGTTAGTGTGACGCATTTGTTGGTACCGGTATCTCTTGTGTTGAATCAAGGAGAATATGGGGCCGCTGAGCAGTGGCATGAAGCACTAACTGACCTTAGAACCTTTAATTAAACAACTTGATTATTAGGAAGTAGTGAGATAGCCGGTTTTGGTGTAAAGATGAAGATTAGTTGATACTCGATACTACACTCATTGAGATCAGACTTTTGGGATATTTCGGCCGCAAGAAAAGATTGATTGTTCCGAGACAATGCCCAATGAAGAAAGAACAATGATATTGAGATTCCCTAGAACCCGGTTACTTTCTAGGACAAGTTGAGCCAACTAAACTTCAAGAGGGTACTGACCTATAAAACCCATGCAAGCCTAAACCTAAGATTTTTTGTGTGCTTTGTTTGTGATTATTATTCATGTCATCATAAACATCATAACATCATAGCATTATAAGCATTCTCACTAACCATTTCAAGGATTTAGGAATTTATCTTTGTTCTGTTTTATAGGTCATGACTTCCATTCGTAGGAATACCATCTGAATCAACTTCATAAAAGTGCATCCTCAACTTAAAGAGTTAGCATCAAGAATACCTGGAGATTATCCCTTCACCAAGAAATATGGCTGACTGCTTAACTTGGCTATCTCAAACTTCCAAGAAGAAATGATGTGTGTTCTTTTTCAATTCTTTGATCCTATGCATCATTGTTTCACCTTTCCTGACTACCAATTGGTGCCTACGTTAGAAAAGTTCTCTCAATTTCTAGGATTTCCTGTGCTTGATCAAATACCATTCACCGGTTTAGAGGAGACTCTAGAGCCTAAAGTTATTGTCGAAGCCTTGCATTTTAAGAGATCTGACATTGTGAGAAATTGGGAGACGAGAAGTGGAGTTAAGGGTTTCTTAGCCAAGTTTCTGTTGGAGAAGGCTTGTTCATTCTGGGAGGATATGGATTTTCAAGCTTTTGAAGATGTCTTGGCCCTTCTAATCTATGGTTTGGTTTTATTTCCCAATCTGGAACAACTCATAGATGTGAATGCCATCAAGGTTTTTCTCTCTCGCAATCCCGTACCTACCCTGCTTGGGGACATTCTATATTGTTTCCACACTCGCATCATGAAGAAAAGGGGTACTCTTTTGTGTTTCATTCCATTACTGTCTAGGTGGTTTATTTCGCACCTACCTCGATCAATGTTGAATAATAAGCAAGGTTTGACATGGTCTCAAAGGATGATGTCACTCACACATTCTGATATTCATTGGTGTTCTCAATCCTTGGAGGACATTACTATCATCGACCATTGTGGGGAATTCCCTAATGTACCTTTACTTGGCATTAGGGGAGGTATTACCTACAACCCTTTTTTGGATTTTTGACAATCTGGGTATGCACGAAGAGATGGTCCCTATGATACACTCATCCAAGGTTTGGTATTCGATTATGAGGGAGACGACCAAGGCTATCGTCAAAGGTTCATACGAGCTTGGAGAATGATAAAAAAAGTGGATAGTAAGACATTGGGACATAATAATTCCATCCCCCTCGAGCCTTACCTTAAGTGGGTATGAACTCGTGCTCAAAGTCTTGTAATGCCTTACCCCTCCATCTTACCAATCATCATGGAGCATGTTGTCAAAATAGATGTTCCATATACTGTCCTTTATCCTGATATGCCTACTTCTCTTGAAGATTTTCAAAGATCTTGGATTCAGCTAAAGGGGGAGCGAGACACCTTTGAAGCCCCGTTTTATGCAAGCGAGAAGAAGACATTGGAGCTCACGAGACAACTTCATGAGGAGAGGAGCCTGAATTCCTATATCTCTCCAAAGAGGAAGCGTCCATAGGAAACTTGAGCCATTGTTATTATATTGTAGTTCATTTTGTTTCTTTTGTTTCAATGTAAGACCAAGAGGCATGTTGTAAGCAATTTGAACTTATTAATACAATTAATGTTTGTTCCCTTTTGTCAAAACAAATTTAAATCTTCTAAGTCCTTGAAATCATTTGAATACGCATGTTCATGCATCATAACATAAACAGGTTTTCCACAATAGGTTTCCTTATCTTTCTACTATTTATTTCAATAAGATGGATATCAAACAAACAGTGAAGGATCTTCAAGCACATAATGCTTAATTCCAACAGATGTTCCTGGCTCTGGCTAAAGGACAAGAGGACCTGGAGGATCTCATGATCAAAGACAAGAAGAAAAAGACAAAGAAACCAGTGGGTGTCCTGAATATGGTAAGGAGATTAAGAGAACCAGCAAAGCGAGCTCTAGAATTCACAACTTCGTCAAATGAGGGGGACAATCAGGAAGAGAAGACAAAAGAAGAGGACCACTGTCTGGGGTCTGATGAAGAAGAGGTTGACTATGCTGAAGAATAATATCCTCCTGCTGATGACAAATATAAATAGCTAGAGGATCGTCTAAACTCCATGGAAATTCAGAGAGTACCTGGTCTGGTTTTGAAGAATTAGGGTTGGTTTCTGGAGTGGTCATTCCACTGAAGTTCAATGTTCTCGCATTTAATAAATATGACAGAGTTTCATATCCTAAGCTGCACCTAAGGTCTGATGTCAGGAAGATCCAACCTCACACCCCTGATAGGAATTTGTGGGTGCATTTCTTCTAGGAAAGTTTATCGGGGACTCAATTTGGAATGTTTCTATCAGCTGGAAG